ATTCATGTCGTTTATATAACGCGATCGTTCTGAAATTTTCCACAACTTCCCAGCTAAATGGAGCGATCATCCTGTCTTATTTATTTTTTAAATACTGACCGAACTTATCTGTCTTCCCCATGATGTATTATCATAATCATGTTATTTATTTTTACGTTTTCTGCAACTTTTTATATTTATCTAATTTTTAACACATTTCATATCTGTTCATTGATTTTTACAACACAATTCTGCTTTATTTTTATTAATCTAGATTCAGCAGCAATTTGCATGTCTGCCTGCCCGTACGGTCACTGAGCGAACACCTTGTCGGCTTGCTTCTGATTGTGGTCCCTCTGGCCTAGGATTCCCAGTCGCAGCTATTCGTGCCTCTCTTTTCGCACAAATGTCGGCATCTTCCGATCGGGTTGCCCCCATCCATAATCAGATTGCCTTGCACCTTGCAGAAACGAACCGCGCTGCTCTACCTAATCAACAATCTTCGATATCACCGCCAGTGCCAATACAAGATTCTGACCAGGTGACTAATCCGGTGGGAGCCCATTCAATTGAACCTCTTGCTGTTCTACAAAGAGAAGGAGGACCTGTATCCTCGGAAAAAAACGAACGCATTTTTCGACAAGAATCACTGTCCGAAAAGCAGGTGAACTAGTCCTATTTATAGACGGATGTTTAACATCTGTGCTATTAACTATAAGTTATATCGAAGGTATGAAGACCAATATGGCGTGGCTTATTGTGTGGTCGCGGTCTCCTTTCGTTGTCTAGATGTTGTTTGACCTTGTTTTCGCAACTTGGTCATATTGGTAGGAAGACATAAAGGAACGCACCTAGTCCGTAGTCCATTGTTTTCAGGATAATTTCTAGTCGGACCATGGACGTGGTACATTCCCAGACGTTTCGCCGGCATCGTCAGTGAGCCTCGCCATTCTTAGCACCATACAACAACTCATCTGCGATAATGAAGACGATCCTTTGACCAAACGTGTGCTAAACAATTGTGGTATCTCCTCTTCTGCCCTGTGCTATTCACATTTACTATATCCTCCTATCACACCTTCACGGTAACAATTTTTACCGTCCTCATTTCAATGTAGTGTGGTATGCTCCTTTTGAGCGGCATTCATGAAAACCCTTCACACTTTACGCTCTCGTTCGCATCCCTTTCACCCGTGTGCTGGGAATTTTGATCAGAGTCTGCCATATTATTACGCAGTCCTTCCCTAGGTCTTATCACAGTCTCTCTTGCCCCGTAAGATTCATCTGCTGTGTCCCTGGTTTACGTATTTCACTCGACCTTTGCCACCCCATCTGTGTTACTCGAGGCGTTATTCGCCCTCCTCTGCGTCTGGGTGACTAATTCGTAGCTAAAGCCCCTGAGTAAGTCTCATCGTCAACTTTTCGCTACATGGACCACGTCTATGGTAAAACCTACTGTCAGCCAACTAGATCCAGTCTCCGCCGCATTTATTCTGTTTCTATCCGTAATTCCAAGTCTATGACTTGCTATGTCTTAGTCTCTTGTGTGCTAACCCACAAATGTTGTGGTACTGCTTGCTTTGATTACGTTTACTGTTGAACCACAACGTTTGTGGGTTTCCTCTAAGTCTTCCTACCAATATGACCAAGTTGCAAAAACAAAGTCAAACGACCTCTATAAGTTATATCATTTGTCTGATTATCATAGCCAACTGCTAATACCTAAAAAGGAAATTTCTACATTTTTAAATATTTTCTTAAAATTTACACATTCTGGTCTTTTTTAATTTTTTTGAATCTTTTTATGTTGTTTATTGGTTACATAGTTTTATATTCAAACAGTACTAAGTGCTCTTTATTAATCTTTTTCAAATTTAGAAAGCTTCAAATATGCTCTTACTCGCGATTATCTCTCTGCTCACTTTTCTTATACTTGCTGCTCGGTCTCGTTCTACAATGCAATCTTCATGCTAGCAAGCAACTAGGGTATCTAAAGTAATGTGTATGATAGATTT